ATAAAATTTAATACAGTGTTATAAAAACTTAAAAGTTTTAGTTCTTAATTCAGTTTATTTTAATAGCTGATTTTAGTGGCTGACAAAGTTGAAAAGCTGCCTCACTGAGATAATTTTTTTTTTTCCAAATAGTTTATTGTCAAATTAGTTTCCACATAACACCCAGTGCTCATCCCCACAGGTGCCCTCCTCCATGCCCATCCCCCCCTCCCCCCCACATCCATCAGTCCTCAGTTTTTGTCAGCATTCAAGAGTCTCTCATGGTTTGCCTCTCTCCCTTTCCCCCACCATTTCCGCCCTTCTTCTCCCCCTTGGTCCTCCGTCAAGTTCCTCCTAATCCTCCTATACGTGCAAACATATGGTATTTGTCCTTCTCTGCCTGACTTATTTCGCTCAGCATAACACCCTCAAGGTCCATCCATGTTGCTACACATGGCCAGATTTCATTGTTTCTCATTGCCACGTAGTATTCCGTGGTATAGATAAACCACATCTTCTTGATCCATTCATCTGTTGATGGAGCCCCTCTGGAAAACAGTGTGGAGGTTCCTCAGGAAACTCACTGAGATAATTTATATCCTAGAGAGAAAAGGCCGTCATTAATGCACTGAGGACACTAATTTTTCAGTCCTACCGATTTTGTCAAAGGTCTTTATTGACAAAAGGCTAGTAGATTTCAGGCTTCCTTACGTCAGTAAGATAGTCTTCCAACTTAATGGAAAAGTGTTGCCTTTTTCTTTTAAATAAATTAGTGATATCTTCAGTCCATAGTCTTGAATTTGTCTGTTACATAAGAGTCTTTTAAAAAATGTATATCCAAATTATGAGGATTAATTTAGTTAAAGATAGAGAATAAAATTTATAAATCTGATGAACTGTGTGTATGTAAGTTGTAATATGCCACAGTTAATAAAAAACCAATGAAAGATTGAAGGGCCCCTGCCAGTTTCTTTTTGTTATTGAATGTGTAATTTTCCTCCAGTATTCTTAGCATTTTGTTATTTGTAGCCTTCTGACATGGAGATGGACCTCAATGTAATTCTACTTTGCTAAATGTTAACAAACTATGTATCTTTCTCATTTTTAGATAAAAATAAATATGAGCAGACATTCTCCTATTTTTCCCCAGAGCTCAATGGATGGTCTTCTCGTTTTGCACACTACATTTATTGGAGTTCATTGTTATGTTAGGATGTTGCTATATGGAAGTTTAGGGTTATCTGAAAGAAGTCCCTCATAAAGGCTCAGGTGGGAGAGTGCCAAGGCGTCTAGTTAAACTGGGGAAAGTATTGACTAACGTAGTTGAAGAAATCTTCTGGAGATGGAGATAAAATCAAAAACATCTCTTAATATGCAAGTTCAGACAGAGTGTCAGAGACCATGACCAGTGAATATGATAATGGAAGGAGTGAGAGCCAATTAATTAAGCAAGGCAAGCAGTAAGGTTGGATACTTCTTGAAGAGAAGTAAGCTTGGGAAATGGGGAAGTAAGCCACATGAAATGCTTGGGCATTTTGAATGTAGGCTGTATAATGAATGATATTGTGAGGGCTCGACAGTTACACCTATTAAAAATTGCCTGGTTTTCCTCTTAATTTATAGGTGACTCCTTGAATAGGGAAGAAAACATTTTTTCATTAGGACTCTGCAAGAGAAAGAAACTGTTTAAATTTAAATTTTAAAAAGCAGTAATATTTTGTTGAGTCACATAACTAAAATGGTAAGAAAAGCAAATATCTTTTCTTTGGAATGACCTCAAAACAGAGACTCCATACCATCAGGATTCTGCCTTTTCTGTTGGCTTAACTTTTTTTTTTTTTTTTTTTTTTTAACTGAACATAGGTTTCTAGGCTTAGCAGTGTACCTGGCTGTGGTTCCTCTGGACTCACATACTTATTCTCTGTGATCAAAGGGAAAGATCTGATCTTGTATCTGTTGAAACCCTACCTGAGGAGGATTTTGTTTGGTCTCTTTGGATCATGTGCATACATCTTAGACAATCACTGTGTCCAGGGAGGTTAGGTACTGTGACTGGTCTAGCCACAGCCCAAGTTAGGTCATATATCTCCTTCTGTGTTTAGGAGCCTGAGGTGTTACACCAGAAGATGGAAGATAGCAGAAACATGGCCCTTGGGAATAATTTGTGAGTCAGTCAGGCATTCCAGTTTATGTCCACTAATTTTCGTTTTACAATTAGTCACAACAGATTTAAAACACAAAATGTTGATTATAATAACACTGAGATTAAATCACATTTGCAGATTTCTGTTTTGACAGGAATAAGGTAAATGGTTTATGAAGGTATTACACATATGAATTAGGAGCCCAGGAGAAAAAGAATCTAGACTTGAAAGATGTAGGATGCATAAGACAGATGGCAGCCTATAGCAGGTTTCATGTGTTTCTTTATCTCGAGTTTATTCATTTAGGGTAAAGGAATTAGGAAGTATTTTTGATGTTCTGCTTCATACAGTTTCTTAATTTTGCAACTTATAAAGTTTCATTATAAAGAATTTTTTTCGTAGTGGTTCATTATTTTGAACTATCATAAGATTTTAAAAATATGTCAGTTAATTTTGAAGTTATTTGAGAAAACGTGATGTTGTTAATAAGTACATTGAAAGGTTTTTGAATATACAGTTCTTTGGAAATAAGTTATTTTCGTTTTTACATGAACTGGCAAGAATTCAGCAAAGATTCAACGAGATTTGTTTTGTATGCAGTCTGCCTACCCCCCCCCCTGCTTTTTTAGCAGTCAGAACAAGATTATAGTTTCCAGATGAAATTTTGAATGTCACATGGTGATGACATATATTTTCCTGGTTGGCTCAGCATGAGATGCAATTTTGCATGCCATGTCACGCTGACTTGCAGAATCCAAAAGCCATTATTTCCCCAGGGGCTTTCAAGAGTGATAGTATCGAATGTAGTTTGTATTTTGATGAAAAGTCTCAGGCATTATTGCAGTTTCTATGGCAAGTTGCTTAAAGTTTATATACTATCTAAACTCTAGAAATTTAAAAATAGCCTTACTATGTAAAAATCACTTTTTCTTCAAGTTATTTAAATTTATGTTGCCAAAGTAAATTGCCAAAAATAATGAACAGTGTCTGACACAAATCAAGCTAAGACGGTATGGTGGAAAAACCTGTAGATTAGGAACCAAAAAATCTAGCTTTTGATCCTTTTCCTACTCCCATGTCAAGCTAACCTCATACACCTGCAGTTTCTTCATTTAGAATATGTTAATAAGTATACCGATAATAGCTCACAGATTTAACTGTTGTTATAAGACTTAAATAAAGTAGCACCTGGGTGCTCAGTTGGTTAAGTGTTGGACTCTAGATTTCAGCTCAGGTCATGATACCATGGTTTGTGAGTTTGAGCCCCACATCAGGCTCAGCTCTGACAGCATGGAGCCTGCTTGGGATTCTGTCTCCTTCTCTCTGTCCTTCCCCTACGTGCATTCTTTTTCTCCTTCTCTCTTCAAAAATAAATTTTAAAAATGAACATTTTAGGGGCTTCTGGGTGACTTAGTTGGTCAAGTGTCCGACTGTAGCTCAGTTCATAGACTCGCGGTCCATGGGTTCAAGCTGCACATTCATTGGGCTCTGTGCTGACAGCTCAGAGCCTGGAGCCTGCTTTGGATTCTGTGTCTCCCTCTCTCTCTGCCCCTCCCCTGCTCATGCTCTGTCTCTTTCTCAAAAATAAATAATAAAACATTTTTAAAAATGTTAAAAATGAACATTTTTAAAAAAGATATGTGCAAGTTCTATGAAATGATAAAAACACATTCAGATAGAAAGTAAATTTCACCTTTTTTATGTTTGTATTTTAAAAGCAAAACTATAAGCTCCAAGCAAGGTGAAGCTTCCTGTTTTATCTAGTAGCTCCTGACCTTGCAGGGTAATTTCATTTTTTCTTTTTTCTTTTTGATATTAATCATCTTAAAGTTGCCTTAAAGCCCAGCATTTCCATTCATGTTTATATAATAACACTTCTTTCACACTGATCTGTTCTATACTTGTCTTTTTTTTTTTTTTTTTTAATTTATTTCTAGGAGAGAGAGAGAGAGAGAGAGAGACAGCATGAGCAGGGGAGGGTGAGAGAGAGAAGGAGACACAGACTCTGAAACAGGCTCCAGGCTCTGAGCTGGCAGTCAGCACAGAGCCCGACGCGGGGCTCGAACCCACGAACCGCGAGATCATGACCTAAGCGAAAGTTGGACGCTTAACCGACTAAGCCACCCAGGCGCCCCTATACTTGTCTTAACTAAGTTGTTTTGTTATACCAGTCTCCCCTCCCTCCTTCCCACCTTCTCTCCTTTCTTTCCTCCTTCCTTCCTTCCCTCCTTCCCTCCTTCCCTCATCCAGTTGTCTACATTGCTGTTTAGGTATCTTACAGGCCACTCAAGCCTAATGTGTCAAATCTGTACAATAATATACCCCTTCCGTTACCACCATTGACTGTGTTACTCAAGGATGAAACTTTAAATTCAGTGGCTTTTTTCCCCTGTCCATTCTGCTCAGATGCTGCATCCCAAATTGGAGCCACATAATTTCTTGTACAGAATAATGTAAGGATGTCCTAAATAGTCTCACTTCTGTCATTTCCAAATTATTTCATCATCTGTTCTCAGTTACCCTAATCCATTGTCCAGATGACAGCAAGAATCATCCTATTAAAAATCTAAATTGGATCATTTTATTCCCTGTTTAAAACACTTAAGTAATGCCTTACTGCATTTGAGATAAAATCTAAACTCCTTACCATGACCTACAAAATTTGACGTTATTTAGCCTCTGTCCTGTTCTTCCTTTCGTCATTTGTCTTTTTTTTTTTTTTTCTTTTTCCCCCTTGCAGTGATCCTCTTTGATTCCTTCAAATGCTCCATGATTTTTCTTGCCGGAAACTTTTGCATGTGCTGTTCCCACTGTTTTCATTGCTCTCACTCCCCCTCCCCCAACATACACACAAAAACACTGAAAATTGAAGTATTTTTATTTTATGTATGATGAGTAGGCATTATAGTAGGTATCTTGGAGGACCCATTCAAGATGGCTCACATAATCCAATTTAATGAAGCCCATATTCTTCCCATACCAAAGGAAACACTGGCAGCACACAGTGAGGCAATGTTTCCACATCAGACCTTGCCAGTTTGAGCAGATGTGGCAGGAATGACAGCCCGGGCCACATTTCCTTGGATGGCCCCAGTAGAGCTGCTGGTGACCCATCTTGCTCTCTCAGATGCAACAAGGCAAAAGTTCATTGCTCTTTTCGTAGCTCTGTACTCTTTGTACTCCTAGTCTTAGTTTAAATGGTATCGTTTCAGTATTCTGTTCAGTCTTCCTCAAATAGGTCTGTGCCATTCCCCCAAGATTCCCTGCCTTAGCACCTCTTTTCTGCCCTTGTAACACCTATCATAGCTTTTCTTCTTTCTTTTCTTTCTCTTTGTCTAGACTGCATATCAAGGACCATATCTGACTTGTTCACTTTTTAAAAATTGAGGTATAATTGACATTACAGTAATTTCAGGTTTATAGCATAGTGATCCAATATACATATACATTGTAAAATAATAGTTGATATCCATCACTGTACATAGTTACCAAAAATATTTTTTTCTTGTGATGAAAATTTTTCTAATATTTACTTTCTGAGAGACCATCAAATATGCAATACAATATTATTAACTACAGTCACGATGCAGTGCATTACATCCCCATGACTTACTGATTTTATGTTGGAAGTAAGTACCTTTTCACCCCTTTAACCCATTTCACCCACACCCTTCACCTATTTCACCCACCCCTTTCTTCTGGAAACCACCAGCTTGTTCTTTGTATCTGTGAGTTTGTTTTTTGTTGTGTTTTGTTTTGTTTTTAGGTTTCAAACAGAAGTGAGGTGATATGGTATTTATCTTTCTCTGTCTGACTTATTTCACTTAGCATACTGTTCTTAAGATCCTTCTCTATTATTACAGATGGCAAGATTTTCATCTTTTCTGTGGCTGAATAGTATTCTATTACATGTTTGCATATATTGTGTGTGTATATATATACATACACACACATGCATATACATATATAGATACATATGTGTATATATGTGTATTAACCTCATTTTCTTTTTCCCTTCATCCATAAGCAGACACTTAGGTTGTTTCTATATCTTGGCTAATGCAAGTAATATTACAGTGAACATGGAGGTGCATATATGTTTTCAGTTAGTATTTTCATTTGTTTTAGATAAATACCCCAAAGTGGAAATGTTAGATCATATAATAGTTCTGTATTTAATTTTTTAAGGAACTTTGTACTGTTTTTCATAATGGTTACACAAATTTACATTCCAACCAGTAGTGCACAGGAATTCCCTTTTTTCCACATCCTCACCAGCACTTGTTATATCTTGTCTTTTTGATAATAGCCATTTTAACAGGGGTGAGGTTATATATTATTTTGGTTTTGATTTGCATTTCCTTGACAATTAATGATATTGAGCATCTTTCTGTACCTATGGGCCATCTGTATGCCTTCTTTGGAAAATGTTTATTTAGATCTTCTAATTTTTAATCAGATTGTTGCTGCTGTTGTTGTTGTTTTGCTGTTGAGTTGTATGAGTTCTTTACATATTTTGGGTATTAACCCCTTGTCAGATATATGATTTGCAGATATTTTCTCATATTCAGTAGTTTGCCTTTTCATTTTGTTGCTCGTTTCCTTTGCTGTGCAGAAGGTTTTTAGTTTGATGTAGTTCCACTAGTTGAATGTCACAGAGCTTACTGCCTATTTATTATGGTTCAGGTCTTACATTTTGTTAAGTCCTTAATCCATTTGAGTTAGTTTTTGTGTATGGTATAAGATAGGGCTCCCATTTCATTCTTTTATATATGGCTGTCCAGTTTTCCCAAAACCATCTATTGAAGAAACTGCTTTTTCCCCAAGATTTATTTACTTCTTTCTTTCCAGAATCTAACACCAATTTCTGGCATTGAGCAAATATTTAGTAAATAATTGTACAGATCAATAAAACCTTTTTTTCTCCATTTTTATTTAGGGGTTAAATATCACATTTCTTAAACGTTTTTGTCCCCAGTTCTTTAATTGATTTATATCAATGTCCTGTAACTTTTGATGTCTGTTCCCAGATTTCTCAAGGATATTTATCAATTATTCAGGAGAAGTAGCAGTTTGTAGTACATTATAAATCACTGCACATAATCTTTTAAGATATTCCTGCTATATCACACATTTAGTTAATTTTATAGTATTGAATACTGACCAGAGCAGTCCAAGTATAACCCAGGATATTGATGATAGATTTTACCTTTAGTCAGATAGTCATTAAATATAATTTTTAGTTCCTACAGTGTTCTTAACTCTGTGTTAAGTACTTTGGAAAATTGAAAGCGGTATGACATGGCTCTTGTTCTCATGTACTTTGGGTTCTGACAGGCTAAAAAAAAAAAAAAAGTCATGTACAATGTGGCAGAATTTATAAAACTGAGGAAAATTTATGGAGGGTGCCATTACTGTAAACTTTAAGAACTGGAAAAATTTTTATTAGAGAAGTACAACTTGTGGTAGGTCTTAAGTAGTTAAGATTTGCAATAATCAAGAGGGGGCAGGTTACTTAGATGGGAATAATGGGGAAGGCATTGATTGGAGTGGAGATTCTTCAGTGCAAATAGTAGAAAATAAAGTTGAATAGATTCAGAGAGGTGAGACCAGCTTATACCAGGCTTTGAAAACCAGATAGAAAACTTTGATTTTCTATCTATGGTGCTATTTATTCTTGGATAATATCCTATGGTTGAGAGCAGTTTGTAGGTTGGAGCAGAAGGAGAAAGACCCTTCCAGAAATGTGAGTTACCCTTCTTTATAGAAATGAAGATTTTTCAGCAGATTGGTAGCCATGGAAATGGAGAAAAAAGTACAGAATTAGGTTATTTATGAACCTGAAAATTGGCTTTTTTTTTTCTTTTGCAAGAGGTGAATTTATATTTCTTTCTAGTGACACCAAAATCATTCTTAGGATTATGAATGAGTAATAGCTTCTTTTCCATAGCTATACATACGTGCTTTAGAACAGAGTAAAAGGTCATTATAAGACAATGATTCTACAGTTACTGCACTTCCTACCTTATAATAAAAATTTCTAAAGTAACTGTGCTACCTATCATTTAGTAAGTCTGTTACTCATCTATTTCCCTTTTTCACAAGTATGGTTTTCAAAAGCACAACCTCAGTCATATACATCTTTGTTACCCCTAGGTCCTACTTCCAAGTAGACACTCAGTCATGCTTACTGAATTGAACTCTTACTTTTCCATAGCTCATAAGTTTTGGAAGAGGCCAATATTTTCCTCTTTCTCATTTTCAAGTGTTTTCCAAGCCACAGCAACAGAATGGAATAATAGGTCTATAATAAGATTCACAGACTCTTATTGGTCTGCCTTTATTCCTGCTTTGCTAAAATTCTCCATAGTTCCTTCTAAAATGTCCTACAGACTTGAGGAAATCGGGATTGGGAGAAAGGTGGTAGGGACATAGTTCCTCTTCAGCTGTGTTCTCTAACCCAGTATTTCTGCTAGTATTTTTGCTTTCAAGGAAAAGCAAGGAGGTCAGCCCGGCTGGAGCAGAGATCACTGGGAAGAGGGATGGAAGAGGAAGTGAAAAGACAATGGGGAAGAAAAATCCTATAGGGACTTATAAGTCATTGTAAGGATTTGGACTAGTAAAAGTGAATAATACAGGATTCCAGAGAAGGGTGTTAATTAGTGAAATGATAGGACTCATTTTGGCTATTTTAATATTATCACTTTGGGTCTTGTGTTGAGAATAGACTATAGGGAAGAAAGTATAGCAGCAGGTGGCCCTGTTAACCTGTGGCTTATTGTGGTAGTATATGCTTACAATTGTGGTGACTTGACTGAGGGGGAAATAAGGTCAAATTTATGATATATTTTGAGATGAAGCCAATAGAATTATGCCAACTGTCTAGATGTGTATGAGAGAGAGAGGATCGATCATATATTTTCACTGAGCAACTGGAAGGGTAGATTTGCTGTTTTCTGAGACTTTAAGTAATAAAAAGCAAAGGTATGGGGACAGAGAAAGACGTAAAAGTTTTGCTTTGGCCATGTTAAGTTTGAAATTCCTATGAAACCTCTAAATGGAGATGTTGAGTGGACAGATCAATAGTCTGGTGTTTAGAGGCCAGATCAAGAGTGTTTCCTGAGAATTGTTGCCATGTAGAGGATACTTAAACCCATGACACGAAGTGAGATCATCTAAGAAGAAAGTGTTTGTAGAGAAGAGTAATGGTCCAAAGACTGAAATCTTTGGACACTCCAACATTTAGAGTTCTGGAAAATCAAGAACTAGCGAGAAAACAAAGAAATCTGGTAGTGAGGTAGGAAAGGAACACAGAGACAATGGTGTCCAGGAAGATTTAAGAAAGTGTGTCAAGAAGGTGGCAATGATCAAATGTTTCAGTTTCCTCTACTAGGTCCTATTAGTCAGTGTTGTCCACTGTCTCTAAAAAACAACCACAAAAATCTCAGTCTCTTGACACAAGAGAATTGATTTCTTATTCAGGGAAAGTATGTTGTATTCACAGTTTTGTAGTCCCTTATAAGCAGTGACTTGGACATCTTCCCTTTAGTTACACTGATGATCCTTTGGATGTTCTGCATTCAGCCAACAGATAAGCAAAAAGAAAGAGATAAGGAAAGCACACTTGCTCTTGATTGCCTCCAAAGCTTAGAGAGGTACTACCTAGCTTTAGGTCGTATGTTATTGGTGAGAATCATTCACATAGGCTTGCCTTGCTGCAGACTAAATAATATAAGGGAGCAGGTGAAATGTTGAATGAGGTCTCTTGTCTGACACAGAGAGTGACAGTGATCCTGGAGCTAAAATCTTCAAAGAATGAGGATGAGAGTGTTGACCTCTGGATCATATAGATTATTACAGTAAGAAGAAGTGATGGGTATATGGTTGGATGACATGAAATCCAAAGTGAGACTTTTTTTTAGGGAGGAGGTAAAAAAAAAAAAATACACTGGAAGTGGCAGTGAGGATCAGCGAAGCCGTTGAGCCCACTCCCAGGCCCAGTTTTTTTGCAGGATATGGCAGAGAAAACAGCTAGTTAAGAGGACTTCTCAGAAAGCAATGTCCTCTGATTTGTTAGAAAAAAAGATGGAGAGTAAGTTCAGAGAAAAGTTTTA